CTCCTGAGATATTAGACTGTCCACGGGGGTATGGTGAGGAGAAAGTAGCATGTATTAGACCACTCCACTAAAGAGAAGATCATTAAAGCCCCAACTGAATTTGTGATTTGTCCCACAAATCTACTCAGCCTTGAAAATCAGGGAGGCATGACAGGCTCCCCAAAGTCACGTTTTTGCTGCACTAAGAGGAGTCTCAGCGCAGTAGAAATTTCACCCTAATTTATACAAATTTAGGTGAAAAAAGACTGCAGACAAACTCTACTTCCTTTTAATTTATTTTATTTGGGTTGGATGCAGCTCTGCACAAGCTGGTAAATGTGGAAATACACTAGTGTAAGACAAGAATCAACCAAGCACACTGAGTCTTAGTTCTATGCTGTGTTTACTGAACCTCTGGATCAAAGAGAAGTCCTGAAGTGGCCTGGAGTCCTCTCTAGTAATTTTAAGATTCTAGAGCAGGGTTAAATGTTGAAGGATCCTCCTAGATCCAAGAAAAGAAGTGGAGGAAAACAGATCACTATAGGAAAAATAAAGGATAAAAAACAGTGACAGGCCCATACATGTTTCCCATAACCTGGTTAAACTGCACACACACCCCTATACGTGCACACACCATGCTTGAAAGTTTTCAGAAAGCTCAACCGGGCCACGTAGCAGATGCCAGCAGGATGATGTCAACCCGAGGACTATAATTTAATCACTCTGTTCTACAGAGCTTGAGAAGATCTACTACAAACCAATGCTTTCTAATTAGTTTGTGATTCTGCTTTTGTGTTACAAACTCACATGTCTGACACATGTTTGCCATATTGTGGCAAAAATCCAGTTTTGCGTTTATTTGCATGCTAAAGTATTTCTTTTGATACTGTTTGCAGTGTTGTGGTAGCCATGTTGGTCCCAGGATATTAGAGAGATCAGGTGGGTGAGATAATATCTTTTATTGGACCATCTTCTGTTGGTGAGAAAGAGAAGCTTTCAAATTTCAGGACCTGAAGAAGATCTCTCTGTATCTCAAAAGCTTGTCTCTTTCATCCACAGAAGTTGAGCCAATAAAAGATATTACCTCACCCACCTGGTCTCTCTTCATGCTGTGTTTCCTGAACTGATAGTAAAGGATCTTATTAACAAGGGCTGACATTTGACAGTGAGTTTGGTGAACAGGAAGGCAGGAAACGCTGAGGAAAAGTAGTCCATCTGACTTGTTTTCTCCTGGAATTTGACTGCTGAGCATTTTTTCCCCACATTCTGGAGGAAGTGGAGCAGCTCTGCTTGCACTTCCTGTATATGTGACCCACTGAGTGTACAGTTTTGAGGATTCATTTTTAACCTTGTGTTTGAACTGTAGTTCCATTTCCAGCTAAATATAAAAAAATAAAGTGTGTCAGACAAGTTATGCTCACATAGCGCTGCCTTGGTTGGATAAGGGAGCTATGACAGGATGTATGTAACGCTCCCTGGCTGAATGAAGAAGTGTTTTAAAACCCTTCACTGGGGACAGAGCTAAAGCCTAGCCAATAGAGACTGCCTGAGCTGTCAGGCCTGGAGAAAGGAGCTAACAGCTATGACTCCATTAGGCTATTGGAAAGTGGAGCTGACAGATATGCCTCAATAGCATGGCTAGCAGCTATACAAAAGTGAGGTTTCCAGGGGCGCCAAGAGAGAAAAGGGGTGGGGCTTCTGGGAAAGAAGAATGAAACTTCCTCCCAAGTGGAGCTGAGCTTGGTGACAGTACCAGGGCGCTTTCCTTGATCTTCATTCACCACATCTAAAGGGATAAGTGGAGTTTCTGACAGGAGGATCTTTATTCCTTGATTATGTGTGTTACTTAGGCCACCTGGACATTAAATGAACTTTCAGAGACTATCTGCTTCCCATGATGGGGACAACTTGAAGGGCTGTTTTGCTTTAGCTTGTTTTCCATCCTGGGTTAAAGAAGTGTTGACCTCAAACCCAAAGGGTGGAGCATTGGCTTATTACTGGAGGATATAAGGAAATTATAGGCAATTGAGAGGAATAAGTGAGGGAATTTAGAAGAGGATATATGGAAAGCAAGTTAATTTGGAATCAGTAGAATGGTAGGATCAGGGAGAAGAAAGGAAAAAGTGAGATGGGAGACTTGATAGATTTAATAGCCTGTTTAGAAATCTTGGGAATAACAGGGAGCAGGAGGCTGGGCAAGAGGAGGACAGCTGGGCTGGAGCTATCAGGCAAGGAGCTCTGGCATCTTTTCTTCTGTGATGAAAGGCTGCATGATTGTCCTCCGTGAAGGCACTGGCTAGAACCAGGCACTATGAAAGCAGGCTTCCCTGCATATCTCTGCCTGCCTACTCAATCCCACCCTGCAGGAACCATGCAGTTCTAGTCCTAGCAGTCTCTTTCTATAGTTATAAGTCTCTGACTACCTTGAACAAACATTATCACTATGTTGAACCCTCTTAATTTCAAAGCAGAAAAATGACTAGAACTTGCATCTTCCTGCACAAATAACAAGGGCCCCCAACATTTGAAATGAAAGAGAATCTCTGTTACCTCACAGCAGGATAAGGACTCTGACACACAGATAAGTAGTTATGATTTCATCCATTAGAGGGCTCTGGTACATTAACCTAAGCCAGTTTGGTTTGTTCTCTCTAATATGTATACACACAGTATATGGCATTTTCCTATGAAGTTGCATGTGATTTATCTTCTTCAATGAAGTAGAGTAGCATCTGGATCTAAGCCTCCAAGGTCAAATACTGGTGCTACAAGTGGCTGTACTACCAAGCCACTGATTGTATGTACACGGCTTCAATTATATTCTCTGCTCTTGCCCTCACAGCATAACATGTTGGGAATATGGAGGAGGGAGGGCTTGCACTTATTTTCTCTTTGTTTCTCTTCCCTTCTATTCTTCCTTTTCTTCCCCCCCCCTTCCTCCTTTGCTCTCCCTTCTTTTCCCACCCCCACCTCACTTTTTTAGTGTGTGTGTGGGAAGGGTCTTATAACATTCATTGGTATCCTGGAGCTGCATCCATGCACTCAGGTATTTTGTTTTTCTGGAGGCCAGTTTATATCACTTGCCATATCCCACTCACACTATGTGCTCTAATGCTGTTGGCTACACTGTATCTAGGCTGAGTCACACACCGAGGTGGCTATAAGCAAGAGATCTAAGATGTAGCCTAGACTTAGCAAAATCACCAGCATTGTTGTGGATAACAGTGAAATAGTGGTGAGGATTTTTTTTTTGATAGTAAATGAGCACGTTTTTAAACATAATGAGATTTTAGCATGTTAGCCCTGAATTGGAGCCCTCAGTAACTGATCCTTATTTTCCTTTGTCCCCTTTCCTCCAAACTGGTCATAGCGCTGCACATATTGAATTTCGTAATTCTTTAAAGTAACATACAGAACTGAACACAACATATCGCTTTAAATAGACAGTGTGCGGCACAAAAATGTTATTTACCACTGGTTGTTGATCATCAATCTAAATCTGTACAGAGGCTTCAGATTTCGAAACAAGATGTGCAATAAGTACAAGGCAGTCATCTGACTAAGGGATGACACAAGGGAGTGCCCTGAAAAATGAGCGAGAGAGAGAAAGAGCGAGACGCACACAATGGCCAGAATTAGATACTATCCTAATTACAGGAAATGGCTTTTCACTAATGCTAAGGCTGTGACAAATAGATAAAATCCATAAGACTCAAAGCTAAGGCTAACATTCTGGCTTTTTTTGGGAGGTGTGCAGGGCTGGGAGGACTAGAAAGTGTTAAATGATGAGATATTGTTAAGATTAATATTTGCAAATTTATGCCAATTGTATAAACTGATATACTAAGAAATGTTATTTTTTTTTTTTTTTTTTTTTAAAGTTTAGCAGTTGTAGGTAAATGATTTGGTTCTGGAGATTCTGATCATGTTAAACAGAGGCCAAAGTTAACATGTAGGAGGCATTCTAATACAAAATATTTTTTCTAAACATTGTATGTCATCAAGGGAGCAAAAGTTAGTAGGTTAAATAGCAAAAGCACTTTTCTTAAAGCTGTTTACTTTTCATATAGGCATTGGGCTTTATTCTGCCTTCACTCACACTAGTTTTACATTAGTGTAACTATTGACTAGAGTAGAACTACTCATGGTTTACACCAAGATAAGTTCAGACAAAGCCCTTGTTTTCTAAAAAGCTCAGAAATTTCCAGACATCCAAGTGTTAGTATCTCTAAATACACTCTGGAGGATCAGCAAGCAGTGAAAATGCTTCTTTTCCTATTCTCTAACTTCGGTCACCCATTATGAGCTTTGCTGTCCTCTGTAACAGGAGTTGTTTCTCCTCAGCACAGACAGCTTTACTGTTATGATTGCAATTGTTAATCTTTAACCACGATTGAATCTACATAAGATGGTTTCCTCTGAAAGAGGCATTGCCACTGCCAAAGCCTGCCATGCCCTTTTCTAAGAAAGCAGGAAGTCTCTACTGCTTAAATATAGTCACACAACGTTAATATTCTCAGTACCGATGCAGAATATGCAGTTTCCTGTTTAATGCTGCATGCATTGATCTGTGTAAGATTGACTTTTACTGCACCAATACTGTTAAATAATTGACTTCCATGTCTGTATCACTGTGGAAGCTAATGGTGTCATGGCAAAAATCTAGGACCTATTTTTTAATGTCCTAGATGTGACAATATGCTTGCATTTTAAACACCTAGCTATGAGCACGGTTTTCTCTTCCTGAATATGTCTTTGAAAATGTTTCAAGAGGTAGCTTTGCAATTTGAAAGATAAAAAGTATTAAACAGCAAAAGAATGCAAAAGAAAGTGAAACTTTAAAACTTTCTTATGGAAGTTTCTAAACCTCTGTCACAGAAAAATATCTCATTTTGAGTTAGATTTCTGCTATCTGATCACCATTCTAAGAACTGAAAATCTGAAGCCTTTGCACCATTCAGTTAGGAGAGTTGACACTTGAAAGGAGAGGGAAATAAATCATAAATGGCTTTTTTCCAGTTTTACATCAACACCTGGGTTCTTGTGTCAGGAAGTCGAAGTCCCACCAGACCTCCACACACTAGAACAGTTGAAGCTAGAAGAATGGGGATTGCTTTGGTGATGCCAACAAGGGAACCAAATATTAAGTTTCCAAGTACAGCTGCTGCTTTGCATAGTGCGTTCAAAAAGCCGAAGCCTGTTGCCCTAAAAGAAAAAAAAGAATAACATTAAACATGCTTGAAAAATTAAAGCCTTTGGGACAGATCCTCAGCTGGGGTAAATCAGGGTAGCCCCATTGACTTCAGTGGAGCCATCTTGATTGTATAGTGTGCCAACAAAACAAGGGGACGATCATCTTTGTATGGGGAACAGAAAGTTTTAATTTCCTTCAGCTGACACACCTGATCAAACAGTACTTGGTGGAAATGCTGATGAGATCTCATCCTCATATAATAATGAACATTAAGACTTTGGACATGAACTGAATGGGGGCTTGAAAAATGGGTCTTGGGATGGAGGTGAGATGTAAGGATATGACTACACTGCAAAGAAAACCCCACAGCACCGAATCTCAGAGCCCGGGTCAACTGACTCAGGCTTGTGGGGTTGGGCTGTGGGGCTATAAAATTGCAGTGTAGACATTTAGACTCAGCTCTGAAAGCTTGCAAGCAGGGAGGGCCTCGAAGTCCAGGCTCCAGCCCCAGCCTGCACATCTAAACTGGTATTTTCAGCCCCGCAGCCCATGCCCCATGAGTCTGAGTCAATTGACCCAGGCTCTGAGATTTGGTGCCACAGGTTTTAATTTGAAGTGTAGACATGCCCTAAGAGATTCTGCAGGATAGGGAAGGGAGGTAGTTTGCTAGCTGAGAATTTAACAAAAACGCATTCGAGTGGACATTGCTTTATGGAAACATAATATATGATCCTACTAATATTCTGTATCAAAGCCCAAGAGTAACTCGTCTGCTTAGCTGATGACAAGGTTAAAACTAGATATGTTCTGCAAACCACTTTGATTTTAATAAACCTTGTTTAATCATGAATATATCATATGGAGACTGTTGCTTAATTTTGCACAGGATGTCCCAAAGAGAACAAAACCTCTAATAGAAACAAAGAAAGGCAAAGGGTATCAGAAGTGTTAGTCAATATGGATTTGGACAGAGGTGTCCTGTGTCATCAGGGGCTTCAGTCAGAGGAACAGAAGGGTGAAACCTGATGACCAAGAAGACACTGTAGTGGGATGTTGTACAAATGCTGAAGCCAAGATTCTTTTTTTCCAAGAATTCTTATGGGAGAAAAATCATAAATGTTGAAATCTATTGTTTCCACATTAGCTCTGTGAATTATGCACTTTCTGAACTCATGACACATAGTCAGTCTTGCTGTGTGATTATAACTATCATTTGTGTATTAGACCCTTGGCATGTACTGTGGTGCCCACAGGTCACTTGCAGCCAACAGCTGTGTATTATAATTCCCTTGCAACCTTTAAAATATTTGGACTTTAGCAAAATATTGTTCCTTTTGATTAAAGTATTCATTATTCTTTTTTATGCAACACATGGTGTCCCTTTAACATACCACACTAGGGAAAAAACCTCAAGTGATATGTCTGGGGGAAAAGAGACAGGCAGATGGAAAGCAGAAGCTATCAAGAGATGCTGCTTGAGAGGGTAAGCAGGAAAGTCATGGGAGGGCCACTCAGAGTGGCCACCAAATCTTGGAATCTTACCTTTTGTTCCTAAGGTGGCTATTACTCTGGTATGTAAGCACTGCTTGCTGCCAGAGAGTCTGCTGAGAATGATGCTTGAGAGGAGAAACTGAAATGCCTTGGAACCTTTGAGGCTGCAAGATTTGTGGCACGAGAGAGGGAACAGTGCAAACCTGTGAGACTCACTTTTTAAGTGGGGAAACTGAGGAAGCCCTGTAAATATATTACCCAAGAAGCCATTGAAACCCTCTGACTGAGGGATGGACCAAGGAATCCATTGCAATGTTGCCTGAAAAGCTGCTAAAGCCACTGCCTGACAGAGAGATTGAGGAAGCCCTAGGAATGATGATCACTTGATGATTCCCTGTTCTGTTCATTCCCTCTGGGGCACCTGGCATTGGCCACTGTCTGAAGACAGGATACTGGGCTAGATGGACCGTTGGCCAATGTGGCCATTCTTATATTCTTAAAAACTGTTGAAGCAACCAATCAAGGGGAGGACTGTGAGAGCCTTGGGAACACTGTTGAAGGAGGCTGGTACCTCAACAGGTGCTAGTTCTGTGCTAAAATATAGCAGTGCAGTCAGGGATAGCATGGGCAGCAGCTTGGGCTAGCTGCCTGAGTACAAACTGGACCTCCTGGATATGTGCTTGGGCAGCTAGCCTGGGCCACGGCCTGTACTACTGCTGCCACACTGCTATATTTAGTGCACTGGCTTGAGCAGAGCTAGCGCATGTCTGTCTGTCCATGCTGGGAAGCCCATTCCCAGCTGGGAAGCCCATTCCCAGCTGCAATGTAGATGTACCCTTAGAGGGGCCCTAGAGAGCAGGATGTGATTTTCCCCATCTCCCCAGGAGAGTCTGTGTTGTAAGGTGAGACTCATAGTGCAAAATGTGCATAGTACATATGCATAGTGCAAAATGGGGCATCAGTATAGTGGTCTTTGAAGGAAGTTGACTGATACAGGGAGAACCTCTTGGAAGGGCCACGTCTCCAGTCTAACTGATGCCAGAGGGGAATCATGGTGAAGGCAGAGAGCTTGATTGGTACTGGGAGGAGTATCATGGTGGAAGAAAGGGATTGATTAGTATGAGAAGTAGATATTGTTCCATTTTTGTCTTTATTTATGCACAGAATATAACCCTAAAGATATACAACTTATTTGTTATGATCAGTGCAAATACATATATATATTAGGGCTGTCAAGTGATTAAAAAAATTAATCACGATTAATTGCACTGTTAAACAACAATAGAATACCATTTACTTTAAATATTTTTGGATGTTTACTACATTTTCAAATATATTAATTTAAATTACAACACAGAATACAAAGTGTACAGTGCTCACTTTATATTTATTTTTTATTACAAATATTTGCACTGTAAAAAACAACAAAAATTGTATTTTTCAATTCACCTCATACAAGTACTATAGTGCAATCTCTTTATCGTGAAAGATGAACTTACAGATGTAGAATTATGTAAAAAAAAAAATCTGCATTCAAAAATAAAACAATGTAAAACTTTAGAGCCTACAAGTCCTCTTAGTGCTACTTCTTGGTGAGCCAATCACTCAGACAAACAGGGATGGTTATAATTTGCAGGAGATAATGCTGCCTGCTTCTTATTTACAATGTCACCTGAAAGTGAGAACAGGTGTTCACATGGCACTTTTGTAGCCAGCGTTGCAAGATATTTACATGCCAGGTATGCTAAACATTCGTATGCCCTTCCATGTTTTGGCCACCATTCCAGAGGACATGCATCCATGCTGATGATGGGTTCTGCTTGATAACGATCCAAAGCAGTGCGCACTGATGCATGTTCATTTTCATCATCTGAGTCTGATGCCACCAGCAGAAGGTTGATTTTCTGTTTTGGTGGTTTGGGTTCTATAGTTTCCTCATCAGAGTGTTGCTCTTTTAAGACTTCTAAAAGCATGCTCCACACCTCGTCCCTCTCAGATTTTGGACGGCACTTCAGATTCTTAAACCCTGGGTTGAGTGCTGTAGCTATATTAGAAATTTCACATTGGTACTTTCTTTGCGTTTTGTCAAATCTGCTGTGAAAGTGTTCTTAAAACGAATATGTGCTGGGTCATCATCCGAGACTGTTATAACATAAAATATATGCAGAATGCGGGTAAAACAGAGCAGGAGACATACAATTCTCCCCACAAGGAGTACAGTCACAAATTTAATTGATGCATTTTTTTTTTTTTTAATAAGCATCATCAGCATGGAAGCATGTCCTCTGGAATGGTGGCCAAAACATGGAAGGGCATATGAATGTTTAGCATACCTGGCATGTAAATATCTTGCAACGCTGGCTACAAAAGTGCCATGCGAACGCCTGTTCTCACTTTCAGGTGACATTGTAAATAAGAAGCAGGCAGCATTATCTCCTGCAAATTATAACCAACCCTGTTTGTCTGAGTGATTGGCTCACCAAGAAGTAGCGCTGAGTGGACTTGTAGGCTCTAAAGTTTTACACTGTTTTGTTTTTGAATGCAGTTATGTAACCAAAAAAAAATCTGCATTTGTAAGTTACACTTTAACGATAAAGAGATTGCACTTCAGTACTTGTATGAGGTGAATTAAAAAATGCTATTTCTTTTGTTTATCATTTTTACAGTGCATATATTTGTAATAAAAATAATAATATAAAGTGAGCACTGTGCACTTTGTATTCTGTGTTGTAATTGAAATCAATATTGAAAATGTGGAAAAACATCCAAAAATATTTTAAAAATTTCAATTGGTATTCTATTGTTATAAGTGTGATTAATCGCGATTAATTTTTTGAGTTAATCACATGAGTTAACTGTGATTAATTGACAGCCCTAATTATATATATATATATATAAACACACACACATATGCACTTATTGTAGCTTCTACTAGTGCCCTAAGGCCAAAATTTGCCCAAAAGATTATGAACACTGAGAAAAACAATGTTTATGGAGAGATAATGTAATTCTTTTCTATCAACAGGTCTCAGCCTAAATGCAGTAAAAGCTAACAGAATAAGAGTTAACAGAACTAACAAAAGAATATAGATCTAGCTAATGCAAATTTCGACACAGATCTAGACATGAAATCTTTGGAAGGGCAATGCTAAGGAACATATAGGGATACTTTTTATATTACTCTGTAGAGGTAAATTGCTTCACAGATGCTATCTGCTTACATCATCTAGTTATAACAAGGGCCTGCATATAATTTCCTGAGCATTTGGAACATTTATTTTCATATCCTGTGTGCTCTACAACTAGCACATTCAGAACCTGCAGTATATTCCGGGACTGTTATCATGTGGATATATGATCTGTATTTTAACTCAAATATGAAGGTACTTTTTAAAGATGGTAGGTAATATATTTGAACTAAATTGGTGCAGTATTCAGGTACGGAAAAAAACAGCTCTTTTGCAAAATATAATTGGCATAGTCAAACTTTTGCAACTGGATGGTGCTGCTAATTTTCTGATCTCATGAACATTGTCAAATGATCATAAAGAGAGATGAATAACACTGTTAAAATAAGCCCATTTTTCTTTGCCCTTGACTGTTTCAAGGTTTTAAAGCGAACAACCCTGTAGTAAATGTCATCTTTTGATCTTTACGCAGTCTCCACGCATAAAATGTTGCATAAAATATTATACTGTTAATTGTAACCAGGAACACAAATAAGATGTTCAAAGAATGAAGAAAAATGTCTGAATAATGTAGTCCTTTCTTGCTGCGTCTGAACGGTGTTCTCTCTATTTTCAATCATCTCTGATCGCTCACTTGAATCTTGAAACTATGGGCCTGACTGTGCATGCCTTGTGCACCAATAAACATGAACAAGAGTTTCGATGCTCAAGGAAAGCAGAATCAGGCCCTACAACTTTAAAATACAGATGTATTTGTTAAAATATTTGTGATTTAAATCAATTATATCCCATATTAATACTTCCCTTCACTGCACCCATAACTCATTCTTGTACAATGCAGGGACTGAGAAATGTTGTATGTATCTGCCCCAATCTCCAAGCACAACAGGGCACTGTCTCCCCCTCTATCTCTGCTGCAATCCTTGCTGCTGTGCTTCGAAGAGGAGATGAAGTGTACTGACATTCTAAGAATCATCAAGGAAACTTGGTGAATCATCAAAGCACTCAGTGTGGATTGAAATGCAGACGCCTGAAGGCGTGAAGTCATTACCAAACATTGTACCCATCTGCACTACATTGATCAGTTAATGGGCAAATCGTTGGCACAAACTCCCGTTTTCTGACTCTCTGTGAGGAATTAGCTGTGTGATTCCCATTAGGGACTGGGGGAGTTATGTAGTCATAATCCTGTGCACAGCTTAGAAAATTGACAGGAACACATCACATCAATACTGGTAGTGCAGTGGGGTGGATTTGTTCAACTCTTTAAAAATTATTTATTTTATATCTTTTAGTAATAATAGAATAACAATAAGCAAAATCCTCCAGAAATATGGGAGTGTGACAGGTCTGCCAGTGTGGTGGCAGTTAGAAGGTAGGTTTTAATTCTGGTGCCAGGGAGGCCTGGTTTAGTTAAGACATGACAAAGAGAAACGTCTTCCTTTAGCCAAAGCCCCAAACGAAAAAAGTGGCTAAAAATGGGAGGTTAGTGACCCAAGCCTATAGATCACCAGAGCTCTTTCCCTGGATGCCATGTATATTCTGTGGGCCAGGTACTTCTACTATTAAACTTAATGGTCTGGCCTTGCAGCCAGAGCACCTAGTGACTCTCTTCCTGAAATACCAGCAGCATTTGCAGGGGCACCTGTCTGTACAGGCCAGGGATTTGACACTTTAGTTTCCAGACCCAGTGCCAGGTTCCATCCACATCTTCACATAAGACTATGAATAGCATTATCACGGCTCCCTGAAATATATGTGAGAAGATATAATGGAAGCTAGCAGTTTTTCCTCAATATGCTATGGCCAATCTTCTAATGTTAACAACTCAAGCATGTCCAGCTTTTCCCCCCTTTCACATTAGGACACAGTTTCATATCCTAGACTAAGAAGGTGCAAAATTTTACCCACAAGTAGGACCACAGAATTTGCCTTTCTGCATCAGATTAATGGTTCATCAAGGACAATTGTATAGTCTGGTTATAAATCTCTGAATGTGATCATTTCACCACCACACATGGAAGTATACAATTGGAGATATAAGAAAAGGAACTATAGTCAGAGAATTAGGGGTCCTAGATTTTTACATCCTTGATGCTGAAGAGTGAGAGGGAGGGAGGAAGGAGATAGACACTTTGACAAGTACCTGGAGAACTAGATCAAGTGAGTTAATAAAACCCATGTGCTTTTTACAAAATTTTTTACCAGCTGAGTTTATCTGAATTCATCTGCTGGACAGGACAAGTGCAAGTCAGCAGATGGGAATGATCAGGATTATATTACATATGAATCCTCCTTGAGATCATATCTAAAACAAAACATACAGCAGTAGCCTAAAAATAAAGACAGCAAAGAAAGACTTGTGAGGCATTTTATGTCATAAGAAAAGAAACATGAGTTTCAACAGAGTGCAGTTGAACCACATCTACAGGATGGCAGTAGAAAATAACTGCCAGGAAGTGTACTATGAGTCAGTGACTGCAAAGCTATGTCTGAGATGAATACAAAATTTCTCTTCTGACAGCAACAACAATACAACATAGGGTTTAAAATATCCTGTGGATAATGTTGATCACTCTGGGGGAGTTCTCCAGGCTCAGAAAGGGAAATGAAGGATGGGTGCACTGAGTAGTAGGCAGATCTGTAATTTTTCATTTTTGACCAAACTCTATGCACTCTTTTCAAATGCTCTGGGAAAAGGCAGGAGATGATGATTGCATTTTACAGTACATTGTGAACTCTAAATTAGCTGGCCAAGATCAAAATCCAGATGTCTGGCAGACCTAGTGAAGTTAATGAACTGTTGGATTACTTGATCTAATGTGACTGTGAGGAGGTACAATGAGATGACTATACTTATCAGTCTTATTCCAAAGTCCACTTAGGTTTGGCTTATTTATCTGGTCACAGCTACTCCTGGGTGAGAGTTCTAACTTCTAATCGTGGTGCTCCCCAAACTAGTTCACAAGAAGCTATTGTCATTAACATTCAATTGCTACATTCATGTAAAAGTAAGAAAAACTTCCTAAACATCTCGTCTCTAGAGAATTTTAGCCCTATTCCATTCAAATGTGTATTACAGATAGAGCTGGTTGCCTGTGCAATCTTAATTCTACCTCCTCGTGCATATGCATTTGGTACAGTCTTTAATTACTTGACTGCATACTATTTTTTCCCCACAGATCCCTTGCCTGATTCAGTGCACGGCATGGACCTGCTCTGGGGATAAATCAGGGCTGTACAATGAAGGAGACTGTTGTCTGTAGGACCCTTGCCTGATTTGTTGAAGAAGCTGGAAGGTGTGTACTGAATGAATCATGGGAATGCCATAAGAGAAAGGACAGTCTCATGGTTAAGGTAGTTGAATGCTGGCCTGCAGAACTGGATTCTATCCCTGCCTCTACTACAGAGTCCCTGTGTGATGCCGGGCAAGTCGCGTAACCACACTTCATTAATTGTGTGTTCCTCATTTTCTGTGTGTCCAACTCGAGACCCCGGAGTCTGATTTGCAGAAGTGCTGCAGCTCATAGCTGCAACTGAAGTCAATGGGAGCTCTGCTTTGAACATATAAACTGTTATACGATGCTAAGTATTCTGAAAAGTTAGATCTTAGGTGTCTCAAATTGAAAACCTAAAACTAGTGGACACTTCTGACCATATTGTGCCTCAGTTCCCCATGTGTGAAAAGGGGACAATAATACCACCTTTCCTCACTGGGATGTTGTGAAGATTAATTAATTTATGATTGCGAAGAACTAAGAAACTAGAATAAGAGCACTTTAAGGGAAAAAACACAGGGTAATTAATAATTCTGTAGTCAGTGCAGGGTTTCGATGGTTTGCAGTAAATAATGCATACAGCCAAATGCTAAATGATGAAGATAAAAGAAATATTGGCTAGCTTGCTCAGTGAGTGAACACTGTCCATCCTGTACACTGAATGAGTCAGGGTCCCATCAGAAAAATAAATACAGGGGGGCTGATTTAAGGTTGCTAAGCAACCTTAATTCTGGCATTTCCAAACTTGTGGGAGTGCTTGACTTTGCAACCTTAATAATGTTCTTTTAACATAATTTTATTTTGTGTAATTGAGATACAATTCTGATAAGAAAAAATCTCAGGGAACAGAGGGAGAAAGATTTTGAGATTGCATGAAAATACGAGGCAGCACTTTCCTTGTCAATTAATCTGGGAAGATCTTCAGGGTTCAAAACCTACATTTCTTAAATGTTTGGAAGGGAGAAGGTTTGGGAGGCCCTTAAGTGGCTGTAGATTGATTTGGGGCAGATACTACGGGACTGAGAGTCTGAGACTAATCAAAGGCTTTCCAGAACCAGTCTGTTGGCTGAGCAACTCATCCAGAAGGAAGGTGATGCTCAACAAGTTACTATCTTTAATGACATGTTTTATGTTGTTAGAAACTGGACCAATGCAGCTAATCATTATTGTATTGTACAAAAATGTGTTTAAAAAGCAGTAAAGAAAAACCCAGAAGTATCAGAGTTACTGTTGTGTACATTTAAAATCTTAATTAGAGAATAGGTGTATCTCCTATTTCACCTCTATGTAGTCTCTTATATTTGCAGTTGAACAGCTCCGATGAAGATTTATAGTATATGTCCAGACAAAAAGTATGAAGATGGAGTTAGTAATACCAGTCATTTAGGACAAACAACATTAAAGGAGTATTGTAATTACCTCAAACCCAAGCATTAGAAAACCCAGGAAACTCACAGCTAAGGTTAAACTTAAAAGAAACCTAAACATGTTAAGGTTCACAAATGCAGTTAGGTTACTGAAACAACCCGCACTCTCTCCTGTAGTCATACCAACACAGGGAAAAATTAAATGTGTCGCTGTATGTCATGTACATTGATTATTTTCAAAATTCACATTGTATACCCAACTGACAAAGAGCCAATATATTACATAAATTACTTGTAGTACAGTTTATTAAACTCATGACATTGGCAAATTGTCAGGTGTGTGGGGTCCAGCTAGCTTCTAAGACCTATTGGGGAGCTATGCTGGAAGGAAGGGAGGGTTTTTTGGGTTGGATCACTTGCCTATGTTAAGCCTCACCTCCCACAGCTGGAAAACATCTCCTTTTTTTCTAGCCCACTCTCCAGCTGCACCTTGCTTTCCTCTATTGCTGGTTCCTGTCCTCTCCTACAGGCAGGGAAACAGTAGAGAAAGCAGTGCACAGCTGGTAGCGGTAAGGAACTGATAATATAGGACAGAATGGCTCCATGCAGGGGAGAGGGCTGGCAACCAAGAAGAGGCAAGACAGTACCTTAAGGCTCTCAGCCAGTTTTGGATTGGGCCTGTGTGCTAGTGTGCAGTCAGGTGAGAGTAAAGAAGGATTAGGGAGATCTGAGAGGTCTCAGAGGGACAGAGAAAGGGTAATCAGAACCAGGGATGGAGGCAAGGATGGGAGAGTGGGGGGAAGGAAAGATGAGAGAACAATTGTTTGGAAGGTTCTAAAGGTTAAGGAACTCTTTATGGTGATCTAGAGACTGATAGACCATAAGGGTACATGTAAATATGGATAGGCCTGTATAAAAATATATATTTACCTAATAGACTATAACAGAAAGAATGGTTATGGTCAATTGTGTCAGCCTGTACTTGGACGTCTGCAGTGTTGTTGTAGCTGTGTTGGTCCCCCGTATATGAGAGGGACAAAGTGGGTGAGGCAATATCTTTTATTGGACCAACTTCTGTTGGTGAAAGAGAGACAAGCTTTCGAGCTCCACAGAGAAGAAGAAGAAGAAGAGGAGCCCTGTGGAGCCTGAAAGCTTGTATTTTGAAAAACATTTTGGAAAGTGCAAATTTACTGCTGCAATTTACGTCCATTGCTTCTTGCCCTATCCTCAGAGGTTAAGAAAAACAATTTTTCTTCCTCCTCCTTGTAACAACCGTTTACATACTTGAAAACTGTTATCATGTCCCCTCTCAGTCTTCTCTTTTCCAAATTAAACAAACCCAATTTTTTCAATCTTCCCTCATAGGTCATGTTTTCTAGACCTTTAATCGTTTTTGTCGCTCTTCTCTGTACTTTCTCCAATTTGTCCATATCTTTCCTGAAATGTGCCACCCAGAACTGGACACAATACTCCAGTTGAGGCCTAATCACCTCAGAGTAGAGCGGAAGAATTACTTCTCGTGTCTTGCTTACAACACTCCTGCTAATACATCCCAGAAGGATGTTCGCTTTTTTTGCAACAGTGTTACACTGTTGACTCATATTTAGCTTGTGGTCCACTGTGACTCCCAGATCCCTTTCCGCAGTACTCCTTCCTAGGCAGTCATTTCCCATTTTGTATGTGTACAACTGATTGTTCCTTCCTAAATGGAGCACTTCGCATTTGTCCTTATTGAATTTCATCCTATTTACTTCAGACCATTTCTCCAGTTTGTCCAGATCATTTTGAATTTTAATCCTATCCTCCAAAGCACTTGCAACCCCTCCCAGCTTGGTATTGTCCGCAAACTTTATAAGTGTATTCTCTATGCCATTACCTAAATCATTGATGAAGATATTGAATAGAACCAGACCCAGAGCTGATCCCTGTGGGACCCCACTCATTATGCCCTTCCAACATGACTGTAAACCACTGATAACTACTCTCTGGGAACTACTCTCAGAGAACACTTCCTTCCCACAGGAGTCTAATTACTTCAATGGTTTTTGGATTAGGTCTATAGTCCCTCTTTAGAAGTTGTACTTCTTCTCTGCTCCTGGTTTCCTAGGCAATGTAAATGGAACCCCAGAGCCCATGGAGCCTCATAAATGAGCAAAGGGTAGGGAGTCACTACAGGGAGAGGGGATCACAGGCAGGCAGGAATTGGCGTGGGAACACACTGAGAGGGGAAGAAGTGGCCAGTTACAGGAAAAGGAGCAGCAAATTGGGTCCACACAAGTGTTATTTTTCACATAACTCTGCAAAAATAGGGCCAGCCCTGCATAGAAATAACCCAGAAGGCCACTGTTAGGACCAGATTTCCTACTCAACAGCTCCCACTGACAACAACGGGTGGTGCTGGGAGCTGAGCTCTTGTGAAAATCTGGCCCTTGTGAAAATCTGGTATATATTGCCAATGGCCAGTCAAAGATCAGCAGATTCTACCAACCAGCCTTTTTATGCAATATAAAAATATTTGCTCTCTGGTTGAGCCCTTGTAGAAGAAATTTCAGCTGGAAGTCATCTTTTGTGATGGAACTGTGGGCAGCTGTTATTGTGTGTAAATTGTTTTAAAGGGACAAATAGGAAAACCCTTTGTTGTAATAGTGGTATTAGCAGAAACTGCTAAAGAGCAACTGTTAAGTAAAGATGTAATGCAGACTCACTAGGATATATGCTGAAATGTAAAAAAGTAGATGGAATAGTTACCAGTAGTAACTTTTTATTATTATTAAAAAATATTATATTTTTTCTTCCACTAAAATTAATGAGTTTTATCACAGTAATTTTCCTCTACCTGGCTTTAATAAAATATTTACTTCTATTACATTCAGGAATGCCAAGAAAATAGCTATCTGTAAAGAAGGTTGATAATGCTTGGTTGATGGGATGATTATTACCGGAAGAGCACTTCCTGAGGTGTAATAAAAACACAGTGACATAAAAATAGAATGCTTTGGATTCATAAGTCATCTGGTATGGTTATCTTGAGATTGCTACAACAATGGAGATGAACTGCCAGTGTAAAAAAAGAAAACATCTTTGAAGCTTTTCTGCCAAAGAGGAACTAGAGGTGAGTGTTGTACTTATACTTGGATCTATAATTTCTCCTTTCCCGAGGAAAGGTCTATGCATATATTCACCCCAAAAGCTTGGAATAGCATGTAAGGCATTAGGCAATAAGTAGCCTCTGGGTATTTTTTTGTCCTGTATTAAAAATGTCTAATGCCTTCATGACATGATGTACAATAATGTGAGAAAAGATGCCCCCCAGGCTTCACTGACAGGAATCTGAACAATTACAACAGGAGCATTTTTTCAAGAATAAAAGGAAGAAAATAAACTGTATCAGTTTTCAGATCTACTAGTTTTACTCTTGATGAACTACAACATATACATCCTTGTCCTTCTAATCCCTTCACTGACATTAGACCAATGATCTAGAGCTCCAATCTCAGTGTTAGATGAGAAACTTTCTTGCAGAAATTGGAAGCTGCCTGGGGGCCCTTCAAGAGCCTGGAAAGGTCAGAAGCAGTGCTCTAGAGGCTTCTTTGTAGCTGGTTAATGAAGAGATCATGTAGATACCTGCTGACCCTTCAAACAAATCCTCACAGGACTGATTAATATTTCATACTTGGGCCAAATGCATTAGCCCTCCCAAAAGATGCTATCAAATCCCTGTGCCAGTGATTATATTATAGTCTCCACATCATTTCACAGTCAATACACAATTATACTTTGGTTCAAATTCTGCCCTTTAGTTATACTATTGTAAATCCAGAATCAGTCCACTGAAGTCAGCAGAATCACTACAGATTAGCACAGTCTAAATGAGAGCAGAATTTGAACCTACATGTTTCACATCAACTATACTTCTTATGGTATTAATTCAAAAGAGCAGGTATCTGATGCAAAATATGTCTCAAATAATTATCAAACAAACCGCTCAGAAACCAGATTCTTTTTCCCTCTGTTTGCAAGAGAAATGAGGAGTGGAAGACTAGCACACTAATACATTATAAGACTTGGAGTATGTTTTGCAATGGAGCCAGCAGGACTAACACAGTTATATTTCAATGTACCTTCTGTCTGTAGGATACAGTTCCACAGTAATGACATCAAGGGAGTTCCATGCTGAGATGGTGAGACCATTGTACAAACACAGCATGCCTATCATCATGGATTCACTGGTACCAAACCACAAGAAAAAACAGCTAATTCCAGAGAGTACCATAGAACCACCTATATTCAAGGCAGACCAAAAAAAAAAGTCATTGTTTTTACAGAATAATAATATTTATAATCTTATTTGTTTTGCATAACAATGGCCTTTCCACATTGGACAGTTTAAATCACTAAACTGCACATTTGAATTTAAAACTAAATTCTAAAACAGAACCAATTTCTCTGGCAACTATCAGTAGGGACCACACTTCTTGCAATTACAAGGAATGCATTTACATACCATATTAAAGTAACAAGAATAATTTAGTAAGAGTCAGTCTTTATGTAGGATGTTGCTCATAGAAAATCAACATAATAAATTACTTATTTAAGTAAAATGAGCATAAATTTGTCATCATGAAGGGTCGACATCTGATTTTCAACCTCCATTAATGTCCCAAAATAGAAACCTGTCTATGGGCTCCTCTAAATTATGCTAGCTAGATGGTTCCCTACACTCACTAAATGGTCTGCTCCACCATCTGAGGATTTCCTGCGCACAGCTCCCTCTCCCTTTAATGGAGCAAGCCAATACTGAGCACTTTTAAAAATCCCACAACCACAAGTGCTTAAAATAGTATACTTATTTTATTTTATGGTAATACTGAGTGATGAACAAATATATGGCAGTTGAGAATTGGCTGGGCTCCTTAGCTGTTAATTTCCAAACTTTCTAACATTTAGGTGTTTTTGAATAGGTGTTTAGGATTATACACTAATGAAAAAGTCACTGGAAGGGATTTCTTCTTGCCTTTATGAACAGCAAACCCTAAAAGAGAAAACTTTGTATTATCTAGACTGCTTTAGGGTTTTTTGGAGGGATTTTGGCAAAGCCCATACCTAACATCGTTAAACGTCCAATTCTGTCCATCAGAAGAGCAGATACAATATTCCCTGGTAACACAGCCAAAGTTCCCAGGAAATTAACAAAGTAAATCCAATAAGCACTGTAGTCATCATCAAAGGTAATCTGACATCCTGTCTTGTTGTGCTTAAATATGCAGTTTATAAATTCAGTGTCAATGAATTTATATTGCTCGAGATCTGTGGAAACAAGGGAAGTGTCAGCAAAAACAATATCAGCTAACTCATAACCCTGCGAGAAGCACATGATTTAAAACATCCCAAGATTAGACACTCTTATTGATGAATAGGGGCTTACATGCTGCTTTGCTTAGTATAATATGGCTAGTTACTGTGGTTACTTGTTGGTATTTTTCCCCTTATATATAAACATTTTCCAGATGAATTCAGAACTCATGAAAATAAGGGACTACGGCCTTGTCCAAGCAAAGCACATAACTGCTGCTTAAAGTTCCATATGTGCTTTGCTCAGCTGGAGGCTGATAGTACAGCCTACCACCCGGCATACTGAAGATTTACAAACTCCCACCACTTAGCATTGCCAATGTTCCTCAGTCTTGTTCAGCTACAGACCTGGGTCTAGAGACTGTCAATCATGTCACCTTTTGGTGGGTTTGTGGTGAGGACGAATATCCACTGGAAACTCAGATGAGACTCATTTTCATTTGGGATCAGGATGTATTAGCTTTCAATTGCAGTTCTATTCTAAAAAAGTGACTGCAAAAATGCTCTAGAATCACTCAGAGGCAATTAGGTTTTTCTAAGGGCTTGTCTACACAGGGCAGCAATGCCCTCCAGAGGCGGGTGTAAATTTGAGGATGCTGTAAGACCCCATGTAGACCCTGCTGATGGACTAGGAACCTTTTAGAGTATGTCAGCAGGGTCTACACAGGGCAGTTACTGCACTTTCCAATTGACACCTGGTGCACATTGCCCCCCATGTAGAGAAGCCCTAAGTGCCAGCTCTGCAAACACAGCCTGAGGTGTGGGTTTTGTTTGTTTCCTTTTTAGTGAGACACAAATGAGGCCAAAGCATCAGTGATTTCTCCAGTTTCCACCTTGTTGTCCCATATGGCCATTTATTTCAAGGGCCCTCAATACTAGCCATGGACTGTGTTAGGGATTTGAACATAGTTCTCCAGAGGTATAAAGCTAGTGTGCTCGCTCACTGGCATTTCCATTTGTTACGTTTTGAACCAGGAAGTGAACAAGCTATTAAATGCTGACAGTTTTCCCCCAGTGTCCTCCAAACTCGCTCTGGAAGATCAGACCCTGCATTTTCCACTTTGTTTCTCTTACTGCTGTCAGCCTTGAGGCCCTGAGTCACATAGACTTTCCCTTCAGGCAAAGAGGGCTGGCCATTTTTACCTTGGACACCTACCAACACCGTTTGCAAGATGGCCATGTGGGAGAGCAATAAGAGCTGCTACATCCCCCAAATGTTAAGCCCAGTGAACCAGATTCTCATCTCATTTATATGGGATTCAATTGAACAAAATGGAGCTCCTCTGGATTTACGACTATGTAAATAAGATCAGGCCCTGCCCCATTGTCTCTGCAATATTCCCACTTCTTATTGGCCTAGGTAATGGGGGGAGAAGCAAGAAAGAAAGAAAGAAAGAAAGTGTACGAGTCGTGAACTCAGATCCCCTCCCCTAAACATGGTAGCATATTGCATATCACTACTAGACAGGTATGCCAGAAAATCTTACTGAGTTATAGGTGAAACCACGTTATATCGAACTTGCTTTGATCCGCCAGAGTGCGCAGCCCCGCCCCCCCGGAGCCGCTGCTTTACCGCGTTATATCCGAATTTGTGTTATATCGGGTAGCGTTATGGCGGGGTAGAAGTGTATTGTATTCCTGACAAGCAGGCTTTGTGAAATAAGACCACGGTAGTTGGACAGTGATATGATTTTCCTTTCAGCATACCTGTGCTGGAGAAGTTGGTGTCCACAAAAGTACAGTTCCTGAAGTATGTGCTCACAGAAGTAATGTCCTCAAATAAGCAATTCTTAAAAAGGGAATCTTCAAAGGTTACTGATTTAAACTTCATCATAATAAACCTGCCAAATACAAATAATTTCCATCAGTCTGCTTTCATGCATCATGATTAGAGATTCAGCTGTGCAGTCTTACATGGATGCCATTCTCAGAAGTCCCACGCCCACAAACATAATACTTCCCGCAGAGTCAGAATGGCTGATTGACTGATGCTGTGCAACCATTGTTGAATACATTGATTTCACAAAATGACATTCCCTCACAGCTGCTGGGCATACCCTTTTCATAGTTAATACAAGGATAAAATATTTGTTATCACCAATCTCTAATCAAAATGTAAAGAACCTCAGGACTCTGATGTAATATACTTTTAAAAGCAATGTTAAATAGCATTTCACAAGTGCTACTGTATTCTTCGCCAAGGCTCCAGAAATCTGGCTTCTTGGAATAAATGATTAGTGGAGATGCTAACAGATTTTAAAGAACCTTTATTTCTTGAGCCAGACAAAACCCTCTCCATCAGGTCAGGCTCAACATTTTGGCCCAGATTTTTAAAAAATGTTTACACAAAAATGCTGGAACACAGTCACAAATATTGCATGTGCAGATAATCTGCTAGATGTCTAAATGGAAATATGTTTATGCTGCTACTGTGACTACATGTACATTGTAATTATTGTGCATAGAAATTTTTGTGCACACTATTCTAAAATTGCCTCTTTCTAGTTTCTAGCTCTTCTTACTTTCTGGCCCCTCCTTCTTACTGACTCTCAGATAACTAATACCATAGCCTTTTGACCTGTTATTTAATTCATTTTAAACAGTGAAGGAAACCTATTAGATAACCATACATATAATAAAAACATTAGACTCAATATTCTTAGGCCAAGTCTACACAAACTTTTTGCCAACATAGCTATGTTGGTCAGGGGTGTGATGAGGTGTGATTTGTGACCAACATAGCTGGGTCGGCAAAAGCCCTTTGTGTAGAATCATTTATACCAGCAAAACTGCACTTTTGGCAGTATAGATGTTTGGGGGGTGGGGGGAGGGAGAGAGGGTTGGAATAAGCTATACTGGCAAAAACAGTTTTGCCAGATTAAGCTGCATCCACCGTAGGATCACTTTGCCAGTATAGTTATACCAGCAAAGCCTTCTAAATCTTAGTCTAGCTAAAATTTCTACTACACAAACTTCTCATGTCTTATACTAAACAACTGATTTAATTTTTAGGTCAAAGAGCAATTTTCTTCTTGGGGTAGAAAGTAGGAGTAGGAGTTGGGGGTGGAAGAACATCATTGTGAGGTAGATAAAAATGGTGGGAATTAAACTTTCTCACAGATAAAATTGCTAGAATCACATTTTTTGTGGGAAGAGGGGACCCAAATTCTATTTTGATTTTCATAGGTTACTGGCTAATGACTTCGCTGCTAGTATTGGACAGGAAAATGATGCCTTCAGTCTATTCATTAATTAACAACTGTAACTTTTCTCATCTGTGACAGACTCGGATTAAAATCTGTCGAATTCAGTGTCAACCCATTATCCTTTTTCACAACAAACCATGCTTTGTCTTCCTGTTCAAAAAATTGTCTCGATTGTTTAAAAGGGAACAAAAAACAACAGGACTAACCAATCAACAGAAGAGCCAGATTGTGTCCCCTGCATACTGCAAGATGTGTCTTTTGCATTTTGGACAGGAAACATGTTTTGAAACAAAATGAAAAAGAAAACCCAGCTGCTTTAAAACTGGTGTAGATTGTTGAGATGGTCTGAATTCAGATCCACCCAGATTTAGAAAGTTAGAACGCTGAATATTGTTGGAAACACGTTCTGACTAGGAGAGATTATGAAAAAAGGAGCAGAGGGGGCAAAGAGAAAAAAATCCACACATACAAAAAGAATTCCACTAACTGCCCCCGTGAAAATAGTGAATCTTTTTTTGGAGGGAACAAAAGCAAAAGTTTACACTCCTGAGGAAAAATGGCTCAAGCAGTTCACCAATCCCAAATGTTAAAGTTTGCATACCTGATAGATTCAGGGCAGATTTGGGAGCCACAGTATTTTTACAAGCATTTTTATTTGCAGTACCTGGGCTGGCAGAGTGCACAGCAACTGAAATTTACTGAATGATAATAAAAGGCTTCACTTTTTTAGACAACATCCGTCTCCTGAAATGGAACTAAATTTGGAAGGCAGAAGCTAATTTAAAATGAAATAGGCTAGTCATAATTTTCAATTGCTCTGCATTGAACAAAACTTTAATTGCTTCCAAATTCAAATTCTTATTAAAAAAGAAGCCTTCTTATATTGCCAAAACCATTAATATAATAAACTTAAATGTAATTTTATTATATAAATAACAACTATTTAGTACCACAAAGCTTAGAACTTTAATATAGTTTATATTATATACATATGTATTGTAGACAGAGACCAGACACTTAAAACAACTCTGTGACCATAGAGTGATTAAACATAATTGGGTTGCTTTGATGTCTTTATATAACTAAGTCATTTAGAATTGTGCTCTGTAAAATTCTAGCTAGTGCCTTTAGACTTCTGGACTCAATTTAAAAATAAAAGGACATTGCTCATCTGGATTTTTACTTTTAACAACAGTTCATACTTTCTATCGAATGCCTCTGGTATTTATCTTTTCAACCATTTTTCCCCTTTTAAGATGTCATCCTGCTCAGTGTTTCTGAAGCTCAGCATTTGGCAGAAGAGACCCTAAGTGAGTAAAAAGGGAAAAAAAGTAGAAAAGAACAAAAGAAAACCACCCTTTCTCCCACCATTAGAGATACATCTCCTGCATCCCCACATGCGACACACATTGGGTCTGAAAATCTGAGTCCCCTGGTGAAAGTAAGTACCAATAATGTGTATCCTCTAGTCTGGTTTATCAAAATAACCAAGGCCTCAATCCAGCAAAAGGAATCCACCTACATGGACCCATAATGCATGTACAGTCCCCATCTACTTCCACTAGAGTGCAGGATCAAGCACCAAGGAGATAAGAACAAAATGACTCTTCCAAAAATTAAATGTAAACAAACCCAGCCCAACCAACCTATTAACAGTCAACATTGAAAAATATTAGCATATTAAGAACTCGTCTACACAGTGCAGCAAAGTACTCTAAAAAGGGGCAGTGAGAGCTCAGAAAGCACTCTAAAAGAGGGCAGTGAGAATCAGAATGCTTTACAAATCATGTCCCTCTACCATTTTACCATATAGACAAGCCCTTAGACAGAAACTTAAAATGTTAGTGAAATTAATGATATTTTCTTAACCAAAATCTTTCTAGACCTGTCATTGATGTATGATCCATTCATGTGAATCTGATTTTCCAATGTGAAGTTGAAGTTGAAGTCTACAATTCTCTCTCCGTTAAAATGTTTCACTTTGGATGCATATTCGTCCGATTGCAGATGTTTAATGACATCAGGGAACCAGACGGACAACCCATAGTAGCTGTGAAAACCAGAAGCATTCAGTCACAAAGCTCACCTTAACGTCAGAAGTATGTACAGACTAGAGAGACAACCTACAGCATCCAGCTACTTAAAGCAGATAACTAGATCTGCAGAAACACTTCTACTTCTACCTGAATTTTAGATTTTTAAGCATCAAGCATAAGAATGCCTTTAGGATGAAATGCATTTTGCTTGCATAAAGTCAGAATAGTGGGGTCTCTCACACTCTTCATCTGTGTGAGATGGGAGGAATAAATCCATCCTCCAATCAGGATCAGAGCTCAGGGGTGCAACATAGACCTGCTACAGTTGCTGGTTTAACCTGTTGTGCTTTCAAGGTTGTTAGGGCCACTGGAACTGTGTGGTCACAGATCCCTTATTTGATTCACACTGTAATCGTTCCCTATGCCAGACTATGCAGGGCCAGCAGAAACACCACCAGTGGGATGCAGGGAGAGTGGAGGCCCCCGGTTCAGATGTTCTGCCAGCTGCTCATGCTGTGCAGTCCCAACACAGAGTTTAAGTGGCTGGAGAATCTTGCCCAAGCTCTCTTCACTACAGTCAATGTCACTGTGAAGTTTAAACTCTTTAGTTAGGGATTGGGCCCCAGCAAATTTACACTGCATAATGATTACAATGGTCTGAGAATTATCCTTAGCCCTGAGAGGGACATGATTGCTATGGAAATTCCCAAACCAAAGTAAGCTGGTGTATCACTTACTCTAGTGTTAAGATCTCAAAAAATGTTATCTGGAATCAGGGGACAACTGGCTGGAAGCTGGAGTGGGTCAGAGTGGAGTGTGGGTTGGGGCACTTTGTATGGTGGGAAGTTGCAAAAGAGATAAGGAGATGCTGTTCCTGAAATAGAGGTGACATAGAGCACTTTATGAAGGTGGAGGAAAGCTGAGGAACTAAAAATGAGTTTTACTCTCCTTCAGTTCCTCAGTGTACTTCAATGAGGATAAATTTAGCACAACAATCATTAATTATGATTAAAAAATACAAGAAAAGTTCATTTTCTGACAGTTCAATTTAAATCTATGTAGAATGACAGTCATTAGGTTAATAAGGAAGCAAATAAGTGAATTACTGTAGCATCTGTTCACCAATGAAACATGTGCATGGAACAATAAGCCATAATAATATTATTATTGAGGATTTATATAATGCTTTACATCTTCCAAGTGCTTACAAACTCTGACCCTTAATACCTTTTTTTCTCATGGGAAATCTCTTTTTATTCAAGACTAGAGGATAGTGCGCTGGGCCTATATATTCAGAAGTGACAAGTGATCTGGAGTTCCTCAGTTTTTGGTCACACAACTCAACACCTTGAAGAGTCTTGAAAGTCAGAACCCTTTAAGGTGCCAGCTGGGAAACCAAAAATGGAGTAACCCCAAAATACGATGTTTTATTTAAAAGATAATTGAGTAAGTATTGTCAATAAGAAAAGAAAATCACAATGACAAAGCAGATTTGCATTCCGCATGACCGGCAGCATTAAAATTAATCTGTATTTCAAGATTTACAGGCTAACCATGGAAAATTCATCAAGAATCCAAGTCAATCATACCCAAAAGACAGCGTGAACCATACAGCTGTAAGTTTGATTGTATTGTCCTTGACTGGATAGTTGAAACATCTCATAAATGTTAACCAAATCTGTAAAATATGAGAAAATACATTTAAAAATAAACAGTGTTTTAGACAATTAAGTTATAGAGGCCTGGATTCTGTTCTCTGCTTCATCAGTGCAGCAGCAAGCAAGGGGCATCACATTACAGCTCTTTGATTCTCAGGCCAGACCTGCATGCTGGTGTAGGTAAAAGCAGGTTTGGGTATTGCCAAACTCCATTTATCATGCACCTTTGATGGTTTCCCCTGCACTGGATCCACTGTGGTTACGTCTAACATTCTTAATCCCTATATAGCTTCAAACAATCACTGTTTAAAAGCAAAACGGTCAGAAATATTTCCATCTTTCCCGCCAAAATTATACTGTTCTGAGTGGATGACAGGCAATATTCCACGCTGAAATACTGACACTTTTAAGGTCTGATATGTCATGACCCATCACATCTAGAACTTGGTGCTTTACACAAATGGGAAGGAGCTGGGACTGCCCTCATCTCAGAAGATTTACAGCAGAGCTGGTTGGAAAATGGGGTTTTCCACGACATCTCCCACGATACACCACTGTCTCCCTTCCTGGAGAGGCAAGGCAGTACATCATAGGAGTCTCCTGGCAATGGTATATCATGGGAGATGTCTGATCAGGGCGCTTCACCCATAGAGAATGGGGACATGAGGCAACTTAACTACAACTCCCATGAGGCACTGCAGTAGCATATCTAAATTGAAATATTTCTGTTTTCAGCCAAAATATTTCAGATTTTGGCTGTTTTTTTTTTTTTTTTTTGCAAATAATTTAGTCAAAAACCCAATTTTCCATGAAAAACCAGTTTTGATTAATTTTTTTTGACCAGCTGTAGCATACATATTTTCAAGATATCATTGTGACATTATTACATGTGGAAAAGCTATTTTAGATAATTTTTAGTGGCTTCTAAATTAGTGATAATTTTTCTCTCTTTTCAAGGTCTGTACTGTAGGATTCAAAGTAAATGATGTATCTTGACTTTACAAGTAGGATATGGAAAACAGGCCCAGTAAACTTTTATGAAATGTTATAAAACAGTTCTAAGGTTTCTGGTAAAATACTGGGCATATGCTGAATATATGACTGTATAGTGTCTTATAAAGATTTTATTGGTATTCATTTTGGATGACCTGCATAACTTATTCATGGCTTCACTAACTGTAAATAATGTGGCTATCCCAAACCTCATACTGATAGAACCTTTTCATCATCATATGTTCCCCCATACCCCATATCACACTTGTTTTTCCAGTATATATTAAACAGTGCTTGAGACATAGTCCCATATTATTGTTATGAATGACTCATAAGGGTCTGGCCTGCCTTTTTCCTTCTGAAGAATGGACCCATCATCTCTATGATGCTCAATTCTCTCCCACTGGCCTGTGAAACTGAAATCTTGTGATTGTTTCTGAAGCCAGATGTCATATTCAGTGTACAGCACACCAGCTGTCCACATCAGGTCATCCAATCACTCCCATTTCTGGGCACTAATGATGGCTCTTTTGTTACCATATACACGAACTACAACTTGGATTTTATTACTTACCCCATATAGCTCTGTGCGGATTCTAACAAAACACCTTCTGTACCAGGTTCCTGTGTCGCTCTGAATTTCTATGAGCTCATCTATCTGTTTGGGAGTTTTTATTCTGTTAACCTGTAAATGGAAACAGAGAAGCATTTTCTTGAACTGTTAAAATGCAATTAAAGGGGACTTGAAAGTTTAAATATGCTCCATAAGTTAAAGATGGGCAGACAGTTAGGGTAGATTTTCAAAAAGATAGAAGTGTTAAGTCTTAACTGGAAATTTACAACTACAAATATCCTATTTGCAAATGCAATATAATTTACGTGCCCAAATTAGGTGTGCTATTGCACACACTTTTGCTCTTGGGCCTGTGTTTCTGCATATTCAAACACTAGTTTCTGTGCAAACAAAATAATTCAACTTTGCAGCTGCTTTAACAGAGAGTTGCCAAAAATGTGGGTGTTAATGTGGTATTGTGGGTAAGAGCATAACAAGCAGAAATACCCAATTTCTTACAAACTGAATGAAGTATGAGATAATTTGCCATGTATGACACGCTGTCCTATTTGAAATATATCTAAGGTACATATTTGGGGGGAAACAATGGGGAGGAATATGTGGCTAATCAACAAACAAAATGCATGATAACACTTTTGTGCTGAGAAGGGTATGTCTTGGGCCCATCAGGGATAAAAAGTTAATGAAACCCTTCTTCACTATTATAGCATTAAAGAGATGAGTGTGGTCCAGTTATTGCTGAATTACTTTCACTGTGACAAACACCATTAAAAGTCTTTTAAATCATTTATTAGTGATACCAAAAAAGAAGGAAAATAGTTAAAGCTTTTGAAATAAAGTATTAGGTACAGCTTTGATTTTAACAATATCCCTTACTCCTTTTCCCTTTAGCTGTGGGGAGTTTTTATAGGGATTCCCCCTCTCTCACCCCTGCTGCTTCACCATCTTTAGATGGTATTAAAATGTTTATTAAATGTCCTTTTTAGGAAAAGAGAAAGTTAGTTGAAATGGGCTGAAGCTGTCGTTGAAGTCCAGTCCTGTTTTCTTTAAGACAAAACCAGACACACGCACAAAAGGGAAGTAAAACAATAGCAAAGATAGAAAATGCAGCTTGTGTGTCTGGTGCTGACTCTCACTTGCAACCTTGCCACCAGAGAAACACAGACACAGTACATGGCCTTATCAGCTACTCTGAGACCTGGCAAACTTGTACCAGTGTTGGGCTGTTTAAAGCTGTGATTTTAACTGCCTGTCTGGAGAGAGGCTCACAGCAATGTGGCAAAAGGTGGAGTTGTCTTGGTCAGCTCAGCCAGACTTAGCCATGTTGAATACACACCCACCTGAAACTGGTGCGTACTTACTCAGCATGGCCAAGCCAAGCCTCTGCTGCTGCTATTCATGCTACCATGGCTACACTGCTATTTATACCTCTGCTAGCTAGCATGAGTACACAAGCAGAATAATCACAACTCAGCTCTAGACAGGCCATTTGTTTGGTTTTAAACCAGACAGTCCTCTTTTTGAGTGGCTGTACTCAGATAAAAAAACGGATGTGGTTTTGTCCAGTATTAGACAAGGGACACCATTCTGAAGAGTCACGCCGTTCTGCCCCTGCTGGTGTGAGCTTGCACGCATTGCGAGTGTGAGGTTACACTGGCAGGGTCACACCGGCAGGGGCAGAGCCGTGTTATTCCTGGAAGTACCAGCATGTCTACTATTCTGGGAATGTGTGAGTGGCTACCCTATCCAGCTCCTAGTGTAGACATAGCCTAAGTGTATTCCCCACCCCAGTTCAATTTGTCTCCTTTTCATTTTGGTTTTGATAACCATATCTAAAGGTGAAGCCCTAATCATACTGGAAACAAGTGTAAATATTACTAGCAGATGACAAGTGGCTTCTGGACAATATGACATTATATAGTTAGGAAAACGTATCAAAAGAAAAAGGAAAATCACCTGAATTTAATAGAAATTACATCTGCTGCAGGATCAGAAAACATGTTAACTACCAAAGGATCTGTATCTTTTTGATATAACCAGTAACACAGAGGTCAAATAAAAGATGACAAATATATCAAGGCATACAGTGAGACTGGATGAAGCTATGAAGTTTAAGAACACCAGCTGAGTAAATAGTTGGATAACAATTCACAATAGCCAGGTCTAATTTAAATTGAAAAAATTAAAGACAAAAAAGCAAATTACACAAAAATTCTTTGCATGTGTGCCTAATATGATAAGATGCTAACACAGTCCAATGAGGAAACTGTGATAAGCTAACATTCTAATAGTGTTAGCATTCTATTAGGTTAATATTGTATTAGGAAAACACAAGCCTACATTAGGGACCACTTCAATGCATAACCTTGATGTACAATACAATGTTTCTAATCCTTTAATACTTTGGTATTAGGAGTCAAGTTTTCCCATCACTAACAGCAGCAGCACTGAAAAATCCCAACCCCCTGGTGTTTTGCCTCTTATCCATGCAATGGGAAAGTGGAGGTTTAATCATATTAAAAGTTGACAAACTATTTACAACATTTAAAAACAACACACTGAGTTTAGTTTTAATCATTTTTCCAGTGTTTTATTTCAATAATTAATGTAGAACAGTGGTTCCCAAACTTTAACAACCTGTGAACCCCTTTCACTAAAATGTCAAGTCTTGCGAACCCCCTTCTAAAAATGAATATTTCCAAGGATTTTCTCCTTTACCTGAGCATAAATTATAAAAGCAGTGATCTTGGGAGTATAAAATTTGTTTTTATGACATGCTTATTACACACTATTTATTATTAATTATTATTTATCATTACAGTATTTTTATTACATTATGAAAACAGTCACACTCTTCCAAGATCTCACTTTCATAGCTTGTATCTCTTTGAATAAGCCAGTTATAACACAAGGCTCCTATGTTTCATCCAGGAGTATCAGATGTGAAACAGCATGAAGGTATTTAAGAAGCCATCTCAAAGAGTTCCTCGTACACAAGCATTCAGGTCTCGGGCAGTCCAGGCAAACAACGGACATTACAAGAAAGCTTAAACTTGTTCTTCATAATAATTTTAAAAACAATACTAGCTGCCTATTTAATTTTAAAAACTACAAAAAATATCCACCTCCCTTTCCATTTCTTATAAGGAGTCTTGTAGTTTAAATCTCCTCAGTGTGATAGATATGCTTGCTTTGATCTGGTTAGATCTTGGAAGTCCAGGGGCTCTAGGCTGCTGCCCCCATGCTGCCCAGAGTCCCTAGGGGAAATTCTGTCTGCCATTAGGGAATTTTTTCCCAAGAACCCCCTGTAACATTTCGCGAACCCCCAGGGGTTCAACCCAGTTTGGGAACCACTGATGTAGAAGGAGGTACTGTTCTCTAGCAGTTAGATCAGTGGAGCAGGAGTAACTAAGCCCAGGTTCTTTCGCAGCTCCACTGCTAACTCACTGTGTAGACTTAGGCAATTTGCTTTACCTACAAATGACACAAGGTATTAGTAGGTGTAATAACAACAACATTATGCTGGAAGGTTGTCATGGCTGCCATCAAGTGGATCTTTGATCCAAAGGCAGTCACAACCTGGTTAAAGCTGATGGGTGTGCTAAGCACCCTTCTTTTAGACTAAACTGAAGGAGCAACTAAGCTCCTATATGAAGACAGCTGGAGATGACAGACACTACCATCCAAGGCAATTGGCTACATGGCAAAGCCTGAGCAGAGTTACATCATGAAGTCTGAGGGGTTCTCCTGGGACTGATTGCAAATGCAGGGAGTAGGGGATTATTTTTGGCAAGATGTATGTGTGTGAAAGCAACAAGAAAGCCAGCAGAAAGCAAGAAGAACAGTTGTGAGCATTAGTCTGAGAGGGAACAGAGAGACAGAGTGCCTTGGGGCACAGAACTGGCAGGAGAGGCAGACTTGGATTTCTGAGCAAGGAAACTGACTATTGTGGTTTGTTTCTGCCGTGTTCAGAGAAACAAGACTTTGCGTACATTCTTTGTAAATAAACAGGATTGCACCAAAGAAATACTTGTCTCATATAATCCATTTCTCCTCCGAAAGGAAACAAATCTGCAAGGTCCTGAATATTGGTAATAACTCAGGCCAAAGAGGCAACAATAATAAATAGTCGACTTCCCAGGAGGGTATCAGAAAATTATTTTTAAATGTTTTGAGATCTTGATATAAAAGACATTCTACAAAAGTGCAGAATACTTTATTCTTTTAGCTGGGTAAAAACTGAAATTCAGTTGAAAAGGTTTCAGTGCATAAAAAGGAGCTGTTAGAGGTCCAGTGACTTTATCCTGCTGTATGTGTTTACTATTATCCATGTTAATGCAGAGGTAGGCTTTGCAGGAGCTTTCTTAAGGAAACACTAAAACTGGAGAATATTGGTTATATCAATACAATGGAACTTATTGTTACATCACTGATTCACATGCTCTGCAATATGCCAGCTGAGGTTTCCAAAGCCAGCTAAGAGATTTGGACACCTAATACCTATTAATGTTAAAGGAAACTGGATATCTAAATCCCTTGGGTAGATTTTAAAACTGTAGCCATTTAGTTTATATGGCAGGGCTGTAGAATAACTTCCTTACTCTGAGTCGGATGTACCACAGGTATATAAAGTACAGTTACTGCTTGCTAAACCATTCAGAACCTGGTTGACAGGAGAACGGATGCTGCTCTAAGAGATCAGCTTGGTGATTAATACTCACTGTGAAGACTTTTTCAGGCTGCCCACGAGCTCGCATGTTAGTGTCATGAATTTGCTTGAGAATCATCCAAGCTTCATCATGTTTTCCAACCTATAAAATTTGACCAAATTACGGAAAAGATTTATGTTAATACTACTTAAACAATATTACTACCTGGTGCTGTGATACTATGGGGATGAATGCTCCAGACATAAAAAGCAGGAACAGGGAATTATAAAGAACATGTTGAAAGTTTTACCTCCAGCAGAAACCTTGGACTTTCTGGCATGAAAGTGAGTGCTACTACTGAGGAGACACAGGGCAGTGCACAGACGACTACAAATACTCTCCAGCTGTGAAACTGGTACGCAGACCCCATACTAAAACTCCACCCTATGGGAGAGAAAAACAAACATAAAAAGAAACAAGTAGCATTTCACATGTTGACGTCTGGCGACTTTTAAATAGTTGGATGTAAATCTATACCCAAATTTGGCCCAGCAAATATTTATTTTGAGAGGGAGGAAAGGGAATTATCCCCAGCATTTATTCTATTCTTGTTCCACAGACATTCAAGGGATCAAGCTTTACTTACACAAATGCTCACAGGATGAATTTTAAACTTTTCTCTGTGATTATTCACACTGGAAATGGTAATACCTTATGTGGGATGGGAGGCTGCTCAGCACAGCAGGGGGAGAAAGTTTCCCAACCCCCTGCCAGAAACCTCATCCAGAGATAACGAAATGAACCAAAGAAGGACATCACTGCAACCTTCGCGAATAGGATCTTACAGATACACATGCAATGGCTTTGTGTGAATGTGACAGGAAAATTAAATTTAAATGCTACACCCACCCAATATGTTTTACAATAGTCTATTTTTTCTAGGAATGATACCTCTGACTGGGCCTGTGTGAGCTTGAAAGGACAAGCTTAGTATTTTATAAAATTCCATCATCCTGCTTATCTACTTCATCTGGCTATATTACTACCACTCCCTGAGAGAGTCAAAGCCCAAGTGGCTTCTTCAGACTTTCTTATTGATTACTGATAGGATTTACATCTATCCCATTAGGGAACAGTAATGATGCCATGGGACTTTTGGATAACGAGTGTTGAATTCTCAGAAACTATTAGTAATCAATCCAAACAGCGTAAAAAATTGCAAAAAAAATGTGACAAGTATATTCATATAACAAATAAATTTGAGTCAATAGCAATATGTAAAAAGAGGTTAAAATCAGAGTAAACTTTTCATTGTGAATTATTTGCTCAGTTATCTGCTTTAAACTAAGCAGGCATGTTTTTATTTTTCTGGTAAAGCACTGGAATTTTGTTTTTAATTGAGTTAATTAATTTTTCGGTTCCTGAAATTGCGTTACCTCTCATTTATAAAAGTGAATATGGCCAAAGTGAATTCCTTTTTAGGTTTGGGTGAACAGCTAAGGAACTTATTTTGGTGGTGGTTTTCACCCCACTAATTTTTATAGAACTGAAAGATAGAAGAATAACAGTTATTTTGATTTAAGATTCCAAAGTCTGTTTTTTATTTATTTTTTCTACAAAAGGAAGATGCTAATGTCAATAAACTCAATATGGGAACAGAGTCCCAGAATGCAATACAAGGCAATGTGCAATGCATAGACAATTACAGGGCATAACTCTCTTCACATCTAGTCCCAGAACACTGTACAAAGAGCTATCTAAAATCTATTATCATAAACATCAACTGCCTTCAGTTGGAAGTACTAAGACGTTCAGTGTTTAAACTCTCATCTGAGATTCAAATCCTTAATACTGAAGCAGTTAGGGCTAGATTTGAGGCAAAACAGGAGGGGTGAGAAGAAAAAAAATGAAAATAACTGTCTCCTTCCTCCAAAGAATAGATCTTGTGAAGGAACCCTAACAGAAATATCACTGAGTTGAGTTATTAAGAATAAGTTTCCCTAGCTAAAATACTACGAAGAAGACAAAGGGAAAGAAGGGCTTCCCTTTCGCAAAAAGTTTATTAGTCAAGCCTTGATCATTTAAGGAACAGTCAAAACTCTGAAAATGCAAGATAAAAAGATACAGGTATGTGGATACGCATCATACTGTATATTCTCTGTGTAATAGATACACATATGTTCTGCTGAAGATTTCCTTTGCATCATTCTTGTACTGCACGATTACAGAAGTATGATTGAAACTGGTAACATGTCCCCTGATGCTCAATGAAAACACTGTAATTCTCCCTTTTACATAATAACACAAACATGTTTGACATTATTAAGCTTTTTCTTTGTAGGCTATTTTTGTTCCACAGAGTGTGTCAGAATATGATTTGTTTTGCATTTGCCACAATACAACAAAATACAGCTTTCTTTTGTAGAGTAGCTTTCATAAAAACTTTACCTGAAAGCACTTTACAGAGTTAAATAACAGAATCTGAATTAAATAACAAGGGAGAGAGAAATAATACAGTTAAAGTGTAAATAATAGCAGAAGGAGAAAGAAATTGAGGTAAGAGAGAAAAAAGATGTTTTCAGATAAAAGTTAAAAGGAGATTGAATTAATGAAGCAAAGAGTTACAGCAGGGGTCAGCAACCTTTCAGAAGTGGTGTGCCGAGTCTTCATTTATTCACTCTAATTTAAGGTTTCGCGTGCCAGTAATACATTTTAACGTTTTTAGAAGGTCTCTTTCTATAAGTCTTTAATATATAACTAAACTATTGTTGTATGTAAAGTAAATACGGTTTTTAAAATGTTTAAGAAGCTTCATTTAAAATTAAATTAAAATGCAGAGCCCCCTGGACCGGTGGCCAGGACCCGGGCAGTGTCAGTGCCACTGAAAATCGGCTCACGTGCCGCCTTCGGCATGAGTGCCATAAGTTGCCTACCCCTGAGTTACAGTAAAGCTGCTACAGGTGACAGCTGCTGCAAAAGAGAAAGTTCTTGCACCAACAATAGTGAGATTGTGTGAAGGGACAAAATGGGGGCCATAAATCAAAGTAGCTCCATTGAAGTCAATTAAGTTATGTTGATTTACGTCAGTTGAGGATCTGGCCAAGGACAATTGTGACCTGGATCTTGAAGTGGGTGTGGAACGAGGAGAATTGTTTGAGGAGTAAATGAATGCATTGCAGTTCTAGGTATGGTAACATGAGAGAAGACGGGCAGCAGTATTCTGCACAGGTTGGAAACATTAGAGCCTATAGAGAATGGACTAACAAGGTGAAAGAAGCTGATGGTTTGGATGAGAATTTTCAGCAGAGATGGACTCGAGACAGTAATGTACCTTGGTAATGTTACAGAGATGTTAACAGCAGATTTACAGACAAAGGACATGTGTAAGCAACGAGAATTTAAATTCAAGAATTACATCAAATTATGGACTATAAACCAAATTATTCTCTGTGTTGTTACAGCCCCAATAAAGCACCCGTAGGCTGTTGTGTTTGGGTCCCACTATGCCTGACCAATACATTCTTAAGCATCCTTTGGTCTGAATCAGCTGCAGCACTTTCTTTTGCTTTGTCCTCTCTGTCACACTTCCTGAGCACAGGCTCTCTGGCTGTTACCCCGTTATGTAAGAGGGACCTTGCGGTCCAACTGCCTTGGACCCTGGGACCAGTGTTGATCCCCCCAGACTCCTCAGTAGATTAAGAACACCCTTTTCCAGCATTCCAGCCTCATGGGCATTCTGGTTTACAGTTCACCTCTTTAGGGATGTGTCACAGTTGAAGGACATAACACTCAGGGTATGTCTACACCCAGCCGCTAGTTTGGCGGCTGGGAATCGAAGTTCTGGGTTCGACTTATCGCGTCTTGTCTGGACGCGATAAGTCGAACCAGGAAGTGATCGCCGTCGACTGCGGTACTCCAGCTATATGAGAGGAGTACCGCGGCATCGACGGGGGAGCCTGCCTGCCGCGTGTGGACCGAGGTAAGTTCGAACTAAGGTACTTCGACTTCAGCTACGTTATTCACGTAGCTGAAGTTGCGTACCTTAGTTCGAATTGGGGGGTAAGTGTAGACCAGGCCTTAGGCGTTGTAAAGGTTTCTAACACAATCACTTTACCTTAGACAGCAAAAGCAATATATAGAGCTAGACAAAACAATAAAACATCTGTATGCATTTTCCTGCCTCAGTTTCCTCATCATACTTGAACATTCTTAGGTCAGAGTCATCTAGGGTGTTCAAGACCTCCCTCTTGCATATGGCTTCTCCTCCAAATCACTGAGTGTGCGTGTCTCTCTCTTCTCTCCCCTAACCCCCCTCCAGCCAGCTTCATTCTGCTCTCTTTCTGAGAGACCCTTTCTTTTAAAACCCCCAGTCCTCTATGTCAGGTGACCCCATGATCAGCCTCATCAAGTGATCAAAGTCACCCACCAGCTGAACCACTGCTTAGTCACCAGACCATCTAGGCAGACTGGTTCTGGGTGGTAGCCAACTCTTTGTCCAAGGGGACTTCCATGGGAATAGAGGACCATCCAGTTTTTAACCTGCATTGTTATCTTTGTGCCACCACCCCCTGGAATTTCAGTCCAAGGTTGAGGTGAAAAGACAACAGAGAAGGCAGAGAAGCCCCACATTCAAAATGGTGTTTGCTCTCTGACACAGATGTACATACGATATCAAACACAATTCATAAGCTGTATATAGACAGATTCCCCAAATTGTTACACCTATACAATCACACTGACAGACACATTTGCAATGGTGCAATAAAATATAATTTGGTCCAGTGGAGGCAATGAATTGTTCAAGACAAAGAGAGAGAGGGATGAAGGCTGCTCCTTATACCCAATAGCAGCACTTCTGTTTAAGAGACATTGAGCTGAAATAACTTAAATCAAAGCCACAATTTGCTTAGTCAAAGCAGGTGAGGGAAAAGACAGATTGACAGGTGGGAGGGGAACCACAAGAAGGAACAAGAGATGTCTGTATCATTATGGAGGTGGACTGAGAAGATGGAGTGGTCCATAGGGTGGACCACACATAATAAAGGAGGAGGAATCACCAGCAGTCAAAAGAATGAGTTATTAACTGCATGGAGGAATAACAAGGAGTCCAGTGGCACCTTAAAGACTAAGGGCTGGTCTACACCCAGCCGCTAGTTAGGCGGCTGGGGATCGAAGTTCCGGGTTCGACTTATCGCGTCTGGTCTGGACGCGATAAGTCGAACCAGGAAGTGCTTGCCGTCGACTGTGGTACTCCAGCTCAGCGAGAGGACGGGGAGCCTGCCTGCCGCGTGTGGACCGCGTCTGAACCGCGGTAAGTTCGAACTAAGGTATGTCGAATTCAGCTACGTTATTAACGTAGCTGAATTTGCGTACCTTAGTTCGAATTGGGGGGTTAGTGTGGACCAGGCCTAACAGATTTATTTGGGCATAAGCTTTCATGGGTA